TTCCAGTTAACGTTATGTTGGCGTGTGTCTGTCGACCTTGCCTAACGTTAGTCCCGAATCTTTGTTGTTATGCCTGCGTGAGTGGAATACTCAGATTACGATTGTTGTTTTCGGTTTGTCTTTTTTCAGATTTCCAATGTGTCAACCACTTAAAAACAACTTCGATAGTAACTAAACCATTTCATTGACATGATCCGACACGTTTGCATATATGTTGTGAATATTTTCAACTCAGAATTGGGTTAACTTGCGCAAAAATAGTAACCGCAACGTGTCTCGCGAAGGTCATCGGATGCATATGGGGTAACGTTGTAATTTTGACATTTCTTGCTAAACGGAATGCTGATTTATCATGGTGTGGTTGTTTTTCAAGGTTTGTGTTATGAAACGCAGTGTTCCTTTTACAGGAAGTAGTGTACTTTTCTCCTAACACAAGGCAAAGATCCAAGTCCTACAGCGCCATCCTATGGTCGTGTATTTAATCTCTGTTCAAAATTAGTTCCTAATATTATTCAGAAATATGCATTACCATCGAGGAAAATGTTATCCAATATTTCACAAATCATTTATTGCGCTTACATGAGTCATTTGGCAAGCAAACACAATGGCTGTTTGGGCATCAAAGGAACCAAGCATCATTAAAGTGGGCAGGTTCCTTTGTTCTCTATTGCTTTATGATAGCAGGCGTACTCAACATTTGGCTTATAGGCTTGTCATCTCCCCATTGGCATCGTTCGCAGGGGCAGGCCACAGGTACAGCTCTCACACCTAATGTAGTGAGGAAGTATTCATGAAGCACTTTCAGTATAAGTCATTGGAAGGCAATAAGGGGATTGTTTACTCTGAAATGTACAAAATATGACGTGGATGATGATGTTTTGTTAAAGTTTTTATTTGTTAAAAGTGGTTGCAATGCAACAAACTCTTTGAATTCAGTTGTGCACAACCTGTTTCTGTTCTTCAGATAAAGGCTCAGAAGTTCCCCTTCTCTCTCTCGCCAGTCAAGATGGGAGGACCCGTGAGCGCTGGGGAGGATAATGACGAGTTGATTGACAACCTGAAGGAGGCGCACTACATCCATTCGGACCTTTGTTGTCTTGGCCGTGTGTTTTGGGTCATTGTCATGCTGGAATACCCATCCACCACCCATTTTCAATGCCCTGGCTGAGGGAAGGAGGTTCTCACCCAAGATTTGACGGTACATGGCCCCGTCCATCGTCCCTTTGATGCGGTGAAGTTGTCCTGTCCCCTTAGCAGAAAAACACCCCCAAAGCGTAATGTTTCCACCTCCATGTTTGACGGTGGGGATGGTGTTCTTGGGTCAAAGGCAGCATTCCACCTCCTCCAAACACGGCGAGTTGAGTTGATGCCAAAGAGCTCGATTTTGGTCTCATCTGACCACAACACTTTCACCCAGTTCTCCTCTGAATCATTCAGATGTTCATTGGCAAAACCTCAGACGGGCCTGTATATGTGCTTTCTTGAGCAGGGGGACCTTGCGGGCGCTGCAGGATTTCAGTCCTTCACGGCGTAGTGTGTTACCAATTGTTTTCTTGGTGACTATGGTCCCAGCTGCCTTGAGATCATTGACAAGATCCTCCCGTGTAGTTCTGGGCTGATTCCTCACCGTTCTCATGATCATTGCAACTCCACGAGGTGAGATCTTGCATGGAGCCCCAGGCCGAGGGAGATTGACAGTTCTTTTATGTTTCTTCCATTTGTGAATAATCGCACCAACTGTTGTCACCTTCTCACCAAGCTGCTTGGCGATGGTCTTGTAGCCCATTCCAGCCTTGTGTAGGTCTACAATCTTGTCCCTGACATCCTTGGAGAGCTCTTTGGTCTTGGCCATGGTGGAGAGTTTGGAATCTGATTGATTGATTGCTTCTGTGGACAGGTGTCTTTTATACAGTTAACAAGCTGAGATTAGGAGCACTCCCTTTAAGAGTGTGCTCCTAATCTCAGCTCGTTACCTGTATAAAAGACACCTGGGAGCCAGAAATCTTTCTGATTGAGAGGGGGTCAAATACTTATTTCCCTCATTAAAATGCAAAATCAATTTATAAAAAATGTTGACATGCGTTTTTTCTGGATTTTGTTGTTGTTATTCTGTCTCTCACTGTTCAAATAAACCTACCATTAAAATTATAGACTGATCATTTCTTTGTGAGTGGGCAAACGTACAAAATCAGCAGGGGATCAAATACTTTATTCCCTCACTGTATACTGTAGCTAGGAAAGTAATACTAAGGGAATGTTGTGTAGTAAACTTAGCCTACTGTTCTGAGAAATATAATAATCAAATATTGTAAAAGCTTTCATTGTCTGCTTAGATGCCCCCTTTATTTATCCTACGGTTCTGACTTGGTGTACAGGGAGAATACTGTAAGAACGGCCCATGTTCTGAATTCTGTCGCTGTACATTTTCAAAAGTGCTGAACAAATAGTTATACTGACTACGTCCGTCCTAGCTCGCTCATTAATGTCTTCATCGAAATTACAGATTGCCTCTTATCTGCTTGTCGTCACCCTTTATGCCATAGTTTGTACATCTCAATTGTCCGTAGAAACCACATTTGTTTAAGCAAGTCAGCCACATCAGCTATGTTTTTTTTTTAAGGCAGTAAATGAGGCTGAATGAACTGTTTCGCTGCCAGACAAGGCTCCGCTGATAGCCAGGTGTAGCAGTGGTAAGGTGTTGGGACTGCTGTTGGGACAGCTTTATGTAGGCCCTAACAGTTTGTGGGCACCGTTCTAGTGCAATTTATGTATTGTTTAGTATTGTGTTGTGTAGTGGCTTTGCTGGCATGCATCCCACATCTATTTTAGTTTTTTGCCCCACCAAGATTCTGAGTGGCGCAGTGGTCTAAGGCACTGCATCGCAGTGCTAGCTGTGCCACTAGAGATCCTGGTTCGAGTCCAGGCTCTGTCGCAGCCGGCCGTGACCGGGAGACCCATGGGCGGAGCACAATTGGTCCAGCGTCGTCCAAGGTAGGGGAGGGTTTGGCCGGCAGGGATGTGGGTTTGTTTCCCACGGGGGGTCCGTATGAATAAAAAAACAAAACATGTATTCATTCACTAACTGTATGTCGCTCTGGATAAGAGCGTCTGCTAAATGACTAAAATGTAAAAAGATTGACATGCTAAAATTGCCACTGATCAGGAGTGATGAAATATGAGCAACCATAGCCCTACAATATACAGAAGTTCCTTCTGGAAAAATAAAGTTATTCTGTTCTGTAAATATGTTTTATCTAGTAGCCTGCACCACATTCACTTTGGTGCACATTTACAGTTGGGCTTGTTCAATTACTATATTGTATGTTTAGGCACATGATTTATTTTATTTTATTGTATCAATCAATACCCAATCGAAATGTTAATTAGATAGCCTACGTATGACGTAAGCTCGTCGCCAGGTTGAATGTTTAGGTCTCAAATCAAATCCAATTTAATTTGTCACATGCACCGAATACAACAGGTGTAGTAGACCTTACCATGAAACGCTAACTTACATGCCCTTAACCAACAATGCAGTTTTAAGAAAATAGAGTTAAGAAAATATTTACTAAATAAATTAAAGTAAAAAAGTAACACAATAAAATAACGAGGCTATCTATATACAGGGGGTACCGGTACCGAGTCAATGTGGGGGTACAGGTTAGTCGAGGTAATTTGTGTATGTAGGTAACGGTTAGGGGTAAAGTGACTACGCGTAGATAATAAACAGCAAGTAGCAGCAGTGTAAAAAAAATAGAAAATAGAAGAAGAAAAATTTTTTTAAAGAGGGGAGGGGGTCAATGCAAATAGTCCGGGTAGCCATTTGATTAATTGTTCAGCAGTTTTATGGCTTGGGTGTAGAAGCTGTAACGTTAGCGTCGACTAGCAGTGAGCTGTCTGAGCGCTACCGAACAAAAGCCTGAAGACAAGCTAATTTGTAGCGGCAATCGGTATTTTAACACGAAACAATTGATTATCAAGTTGTAGGTAATTATATCTTCCAGTTAACGTTATGTTGGCGTGTGTCTGTCGACCTTGCCTAACGTTAGTCCCGAATATTTGTTGTTCTGCCTGCGTGAGTGGAAGACTCAGATTACGATTGTTGTTTTCGGTTTGTCTTTTTTCAGATTTCCAATGTGTCAACCACCTAAAAACAACTTCGATAGTAACTAAACCATTTCATTGACATGATCCGACACGTTTGCATATATGTTGTGAATATTTTCAACTCAGAATTGGGTTAACTTGCGCAAAAATAGTAACCGCAACGTGTCTCGCGAAGGTCATCGGATGCATATGGGGTAACGTTGTAATTTTGACATTTCTTGCTAAACGGAATGCTGATTTATCATGGTGTGGTTGTTTTTCAAGGTTTGTGTTATGAAACGCAGTGTTCTTTTACAGGAAGTAGTGTACTTTTCTCCTAACACAAGGCAAAGATCCAAGTCCTACAGCGCCATCCTATGGTCGTGTATTTGTAATCTCTGTTCAAAATTAGTTCCTAATATTATTCAGAAATATGCATTACCATCGAGGAAAATGTTATCCTATATTTCACAAATCATTTATTGCGCTTACATGAGTCATTTGGCAAGCAAACACAATGGCTGTTTGGGCATCAAAGGAACCAAGCATCATTAAAGTGGCTAGGTTCCTTTGTTCTCTGTTGCTTTATGATAGCAGGCCTACTCAACATTTGGCTTGTAGGCCTGTCATCTCCCCATTGGCATCGTTCGCAGGGGCAGGCCACAGGTACAGCTCTCACACCTAATGTAGTGAGGAAGTATTCATGAAGCACTTTCAGTATAAGTCATTGGAAGGCAATAAGGGGATTGTTTACTCTGAAATGTACAAAATATGACGTGGATGATGATGTTTTGTTAAAGTTTTTATTTGTTAAATGTGGTTGCAATGCAACAAACTCTTTGAATTCGGTTGTGCACAACCTGTTTCTGTTCTTCAGATAAAGGCTCAGAAGTTCCCCTTCTCTCTCTCGCCAGTCAAGATGGGAGGAGCCTGTGAGCGCTGGGGAGGATAATGACGAGTTGATTGACAACCTGAAGGAGGCGCACTACATCCATTCGGACCTGGTGGAGCGGGCCTTCAGGGCCATCGACCGGGCCGACTACTATCTGGAGGACTACCGTGACAGCGCCTACAAGGACCTGGCCTGGAGGCACGGCAACATCCACCTATCAGCCCCCTGTATCTACTCTGAGGTGATGGAGGCCCTGGACCTTCACCCTGGCCTGTCCTTCCTCAACCTGGGCAGTGGGACCGGGTACCTCAGCACCATGGCGGGCCTCATACTGGGTGTGTTACAGTAGCAGACGGTACAACCTCTCTGGGCCTTGTTGGGTCTGGAAACAGGGGGAAATCAGTAGGACAACTGATTGGAAACGTTTATTGAAATGCATTGTGGGTGTTTGTTCTGTTGTAATCCTGGTTCCAGGTCCATTTGGTGTGAACCACGGGGTGGAGTTATATACTGATGTGATTGAGTATGCCTACCAGAAGCTAGACTACTTCATCAAAACCAGCGAAAGCTTTGACAAGTGAGACACTTTACCTCCGATTGCCTTTCCAGTCTACGGCAGCCTTGAAGTTCTCTCTGTCAGTAGACATCGGTGGCTAGTTAAATATCAGGTTGGAGGTTGCATGTGTAGCCTGTATGTAGATTATTTTTGTCTTTTGTTTTATGTTGTATTTGTGTTTTTTAGGTTTGAGTTCTGCGAGCCTTCCTTTGTGGCGGGGAACTGCCTGGAGATCCCCCCTGAGAGCAGGCAGTATGACAGGGTGTACTGTGGGGCGGGGGTGCAGAGAGACCATGAAGAATTCATGAAGAACCTGCTGAAGGTGGGGGGTATCCTGGTACTGCCCCTAGAAGAGAAGGTGTGTGTGTACACTCACACTAACTAGGCTTCCATCCAACCTTTTTATGCGAGTAAAGCACAGCGATAAGTAAAATGTCATGACAGGCCAGATGGAAACAGCAAATTTGTCGGAAAACTTTCCAAATGTCAACGAAATATACACAGTCAATTCAAATAATCAACTCATCATCAAGCTTTGATTATTTCAATCAACTGTGTAGTGCTAGGGCAAAAAAACACAATGTGCACCCAGGGCAGGGCCCCAGGACCGTGTTTGGGAATCCCTGCCCTGATGTACCCTCTTCTTCTGCTCTTTCTAGCTGACCAAGATCAGGCGTACAGGCCAGAGCAGCTGGGAGACTAAAAAGATAATCGCCGTGTCCTTCGCTCCACTGGCACTGCCCCAACATAACACCAATGGCGAACCCAAGGCAGTCCCACTACGTGAGTGCCTTGTCAGTTTGGGATCACACATGGAAGTCACAAGTTGAGTGACGACACTATAGAACAACCAGAACTATTCATCACCATCCAAAGCATTTCTCACGTTATCCGTTTTCTAATCATTCTGTCTCCTTTCTGATCTCTGATCTCTCTGGTGACCCACGGAGCAGCCATGTTTGAGGTGCGGACGCTGCAGGAGCTGGCTCGTATAGCCATCCGCCACACCCTCAGAGTGACCACGGACAGCAGGGAGGGTCACCCACGGGGCCGGGGCTCTTTTGGAGGAGGCAGGGGCCTGGCGGTCAGTGGGCTCCACAAGTACGGCCCACGTTTTAAACGCCGGCGCGTTCACCGCCGCCACTGCACCTCTGTAGTACTGGCTAACAAGCACGTGGTGAGCAGTGCCCTCCCTACCCCCGCTCCCCTGGACAACAACAATAACCACAGGGGGGAGGAGGAGGCGCAGCGAAGGGCAGCCCGGGGGGCGGGAGAGGAGGAGGAGGAGGAAGCAGAGAAGGAGTCAGTGGAGCTACTCCGGGCAGAGCCACCTATAAACATCCTGAGAGAGAGGATTCTCTGTCTGCCCCTCCCGGAGCCTCTGAAGATGTACCTGCTGTACTGTCGGGAGAAATGACATCTCCACAGATAGAGCACACAGCAGAAACCAACAACCCCTGACTGAGTCTCTGCTACTGACTGGTTACTGACTGGGTCTCTGTTACTGACTGGGTCTCTGCTACTGACTGGGTCTCTGTTACTGACTGGGTCTCTGTTACTGACTGGGTCTCTGTTACTGACTGGGTCTCTGCTACTGACTGGGTCTCTGCTACTGACTGGGTCTCTGTTACTGACTGGTTACTGACTGGGTCTCTGTTACTGACTGGGTCTCTGTTACTGACTGGTTACTGACTGGGTCTCTGTTACTGACTGGGTCTCTGTTACTGACTGGGTCTCTGTTACTGACTGGGTCTCTGTTACTGACTGGGTCTCTGTTACTGACTGGGTCTCTGTTACTGACTGGTTACTGACTGGGTCTCTGTTACTGACTGGGTCTCTGTTACTGACTGGGTCTCTGCTACTGACTGGTTACTGACTGGGTCTCTGCTACTGACTGGTTACTGACTGGGTCTCTGTTACTGACTGGGTCTCTGTTACTGACTGGGTCTCTGTTACTGACTGGGTCTCTGCTACTGACTGGTTACTGACTGGGTCTCTGCTACTGACTGGTTACTGACTGGGTCTCTGTTACTGACTGGGTCTCTGTTACTGACTGGGTCTCTGTTACTGACTGGGTCTCTGCTACTGACTGGGTCTCTGCTACTGACTGGGTCTCTGTTACTGACTGGTTACTGACTGGGTCTCTGTTACTGACTGGGTCTCTGTTACTGACTGGTTACTGACTGGGTCTCTGTTACTGACTGGGTCTCTGTTACTGACTGGGTCTCTGTACTGACTGGTCTCTGTACTGCCTGGTTACTGACTGGGTCTCTGTTACTGACTGGGTCTCTGTTACTGACTGGGTCTCTGCTACTGACTGGTTACTGACTGGGTCTCTGTTACTGACTGGGTCTCTGCTACTGACTGAGTCTCTTACTGACTGGTTACTGACTGGGTCTCTGTTACTGACTGGTTACTGACTGGGTCTCTGTTACTGACTGGGTCTCTGCTACTGACTGGTTACTGACTGGTTACTGACTGGGTCTCTGTTACTGACTGGGTCTCTGTTACTGACTGGTTACTGACTGGGTCTCTTACTGACTGGGTCTCTGCTACTGACTGGGTCTCTCTTACTGACTGGGTCTCTGTTACTGACTGGGTCTCTGTTACTGACTGGGTCTCTGTTACTGACTGGTTACTGACTGGGTCTCTGCTACTGACTGGGTCTCTGTTACTGACTGGTTACTGACTGGGTCTCTGCTACTGACTGGTTACTGACTGGGTCTCTGCTACTGACTGGTTACTGACTGGGTCTCTGCTACTGACTGGGTCTCTGTTACTGACTGGGTCTCGTTACTGACTGGGTCTCTGTTACTGACTGGGTCTCTGTACTGACTGGTTACTGACTGGGTCTCTGCTACTGATGGGTCTCTGTTACTGACTGGGTCTTGTACTGACTGGGTCTCTGTACTGACTGGGTCTCTGTTACTGACTGGGTCCTGTTACTGACTGGGTCTCTGTTTACTGACTGGGTCTCTGCTACTGACTGGGTCTCTTACTGACTGGTTACTGACTGGGTCTCTGTTACTGACTGGGTCTCTGTTACTGACTGGGTCTCTGTTACTGACTGGTTACTGACTGGGTCTCTGCTACTGACTGGGTCTCTGTTACTGACTGGGTCTCTGTTACTGACTGGGTCTCTGTTACTGACTGGGTCTCTGTTACTGACTGGTCTGTTCTGACTGTTACTGACTGGGTCTCTGTTACTGACTGGGTCTCTGCTACTGACTGGGTCTCTTACTGACTGGTTACTGACTGGGTCTCTGTTACTGACTGGGTCTCTGTTACTGACTGAGTCTCTTACTGACTGGTTACTGACTGGGTCTCTGTTACTGACTGGTTACTGACTGGGTCTCTGTTACTGACTGGGTCTCTGTTACTGACTGGTTACTGACTGGGTCTCTTACTGACTGGGTCTCTGTTACTGACTGGTTACTGACTGGGTCTCTGTTACTGACTGGGTCTCTGTTACTGACTGGGTCTCTGTTACTGACTGGTTACTGACTGGGTCTCTGTTACTGACTGGGTCTCTGTTACTGACTGGGTCTCTGTTACTGACTGGGTCTCTGCTACTGACTGGGTCTCTGCTACTGACTGGGTCTCTTACTGACTGGGTCTCTGTTACTGACTGGGTCTCTGTTACTGACTGGGTCTCTGCTACTGACTGGGTCTCTGTTACTGACTGGGTCTCTTACTGACTGGTTACTGACTGGGTCTCTGTTACTGACTGGGTCTCTGTTACTGACTGGGTCTCTGCTACTGACTGGTTACTGACTGGGTCTCTGCTACTGACTGGTTACTGACTGGGTCTCTCTTACTGACTGGGTCTCTTACTGACTGGGTCTCTTACTGACTGAGTCTCTTACTGACTGGGTCTCTGCTACTGACTGGGTCTCTCTTACTGACTGGGTCTCTTACTGACTGGGTCTCTTACTGACTGGGTCTCTTACTGACTGAGTCTCTTACTGACTGGGTCTCTGCTACTGACTGGGTCTCTGTTACTGACTGGGTCTCTGTTACTGACTGGGTCTCTGTCACTGTGTGGTGTGGAGCTGGTAGAGGTGCCTGTTGAAGAGAGGTGGCTGAGTGGAGCTGGTAGAGGTGCCTGTTGAAGAGAGGTGGAGCTGGTAGAGGATGCCTGTTGAAGAGAGGTGGAGCTGGTAGAGATGCCTGTTGAAGAGAGGTGGAGCTGGTAGAGATGCCTGTTGAAGAGAGGTGGAGCTGGTAGAGATGCCTGTTGAAGAGAGGTGGAGCTGGTAGAGATGCCTGTTGAAGAGAGATGGAGCTGGTAGAGATGCCTGTTGAAGAGAGGTGGAGCTGGTAGAGATGCCTGTTGAAGAGAGGTGGAGCTGGTAGAGATGCCTGTTGAAGAGAGGTGGAGCTGGTAGAGATGCCTGTTGAAGAGAGGTGGAGCTGGTAGAGGTGCCTGTTGAAGAGAGGTGGAGCTGGTAGAGGTGCCTGTTGAAGAGAGGTGGTGTGGAGCTGGTAGAGATGCCTGTTGACGAGAGGGGGTGTGGTGTGACTGATGACCCATGATGCCTGTGGTTTAGAGACACACCTAAAGTGATGTTATTGGTTGACTCTATTTTGTTAGCAGACTGGCAGTGGATACTAGGTGTGTTTTGAGTCAACTTTCTTGAGAATAACTGCAGGAGACACTATGATGCCATGATCAAATCCAGCAGATGTTTCAGTTTGAACATGAGAATCAGACTAGGGTTGGCCATGCTTCTTCCATTGTTATGATGGGAGTCTGCTAATTTCCAAATTCAAAAGCTCTTCCTACTAGAGCTCATTCTCTTATTTTAAATGATTTACTTTTCCTCTAAAGATTTTCCTAGCACATTGGGGGTTTGGGTTCAGTACCATTTTAATTCAGTAAATTTGATTCATAGGTAGATTTTAAAAAATGCCCACCTTTTGCTATGCCGTTTTTCTTCTCCCAGGAGTTGAATTTCATTACCCTCTGAATTAATTGAATGAAGGTGAAATTCTCTCCAACCCTGACATGTACATTTATCCAAAGCTGGTCTTTCGGTTTACTTCATAATCAATAGTGAAAGAAAAAGTGAGTTTGCAGAGGATCATGTTTTTTCTTCTTCTACATACACTATATATACAGAGGTATGTAGATACCCCTTCAAATTTGTGGATTCAGCTATTTCAGCCACAGCCGTTGCTGACAGGTGTATAACGTTTGAGCGCACCGCCATGCAATCTCCATAGAAAAACATTGGCAGTAGAATGGCCTTACTGAAGAGCTCAGTGACATTGAACGTGTCACCGTCATAGGATGCCACCTTTCCAACAAGTCAGTTTCGTCAAGTTTCTGCCCTGCCACAGCTGCCCCGATCAACTGTAAGTGCTGTTATTGTGAAGTGGAAACGTCTAGGATCAACAATGGCTCAGCCGCGAAGTGGTAGGCCACACAAGCTCACAGAACGGGACTGCTGCTGAAGCGCATAAAGCGTAAAAAATTGTCTTCGGTTGCAACACTCAACCGAGTTACAAAACTCACTACCGAGTTACAAACTGCCTCTGGAAGGAACGTCAGCACAATAACTGTTCGTCGGGAGCTTCATGAAATGGTTTTCCATGGCCGAGCAACCACACACAAGCCTAAGATCACCATGCGCAATGCCAAGCGTCGGCTGGAGTGGTGTAAAGCTTGCCACCATTGGAACTCTGGAGCAGTGGAAACGTGTTCTCTGTAGTGATTAATCACGCTTCACCATCTGGCAGTCTGACGGACAAATCTGGGTTTGGCGGATGCCAGGAGAACGCTACCTGCATGAATGCATAGTTCCAACTGTAACGTTTGGTGGAGGTGGAATAATGGTCTGGGGCTGTTTTTCATTGTTCGTGCTAGGCCCCTTAGTTCCAGTGAAGGGAAATCTAAAACACTACACTATACAATGACATTCTAGACGATTTTGTGGCAGCAGTTTGGGGAAAGCCCTTTCCTGTTTCAGCATGACAATACCCCTGTGCATAAAGCAAGGTCCATACAGAAATGGTTTGTCGAGATCGGTGTGGAAGAACTAGACTGGCCTGCACAGAGCCCTGATCTCAAGCCCATCGAACACCTTGGGTATGAATTGGAACGCCGACTGCGAGCCAGGCCTAATCGCCCAACATCAGTGCCCGACCTCACTAATGCTGTTGTGGCTGAATGGAAGCAAGTCCCCGCAGCAATGTTCCAACATCTAGTGGAAGCCGTTAAAGCAGCAAAGGGGGGACCACCTCCACATTAATGCCCATGATTTTTGGAATGAGATGTTCGACGAGCAGGTGTCCACATACTTCTGGTCATTGTAGTGTGTGTGTCACACCACTGCTATAAGCCTGGAATCACATAAGACAGGAAATGTATGTAGCTACTATGTGTGCTGTTTTCCAAAACAGCAGAGAAAAAAGTAACCTTTAATTACTGATTGATGCCATTTTGTTGATGTGTGAAGGTTTACTTATCTTTTCGCTTGTTGAGTTATTATACATTGTGTGGTGGCCATCTGCATATATATATATATATATATATATATATACTGCTCAAAAAAATTAAGGGAACACTTAAACAACACAATGTAACTCCAAGTCAATCACACTTCTGTGAAATCAAACTGTCCACTTAGGAAGCAACACTGATTGACAATACATTTTACATGCTGTTGTGCAAATGGTATAGACAACAGGTGGAAATTATAGGCAATTAGCAAGACACCCCCAATAAAGGACTGGTTTTGCAGGTGGTGACCACAGACCACTTCTCAGTTCCTATGCTTCCTGGCTGATGTTTTGGTCACTTTTGAATGCTGGCGGTGCTTTCACTCTAGTGGTAGCATGAGACGGAGTCTACAACTCACACAAGTGCTCAGGTAGTGCAGCTCATCCAGGATGGCACATCAATGCGAGATGTGGCAAGAATGTTTGCTGTGTCTGTCAGCGTAGTGTCCAGAGCATGGAGGCGCTACCAGGAGACAGGCCAGTACATCAGGAGACGTGGAGGAGGCCGTAGGAGGGCAACAACCCAGCAGCAGGACTGCTACCTCCGCCTTTGTGCAAGGAGGAGCAGGAGGAGCACTGCCAGAGCCCTGCAAAATGACCTCCAGCAGGCCACAAATGTGCATGTGTCTGCTCAAACGGTCAGAAACAGACTCCATGAGGGTGGTATGAGGGCCCGACGTCCACAGGTGGGGGTTGTGCTTACACCCAACACCGTGCAGGAGGTTTGGCATTTGCCAGAGAACACCAAGATTGGCAAATTCGCCACTGGCGCCCTGGCACACTGAGCACATGTGACAGAGTCTGGAGACGCCGTGGAGAACGTTCTGCTGCCTGCAACATCCTCCAGCATGACCGGTTTGGCGGTGGGTCAGTCATGGTGTGGGGTGGCATTTCTTTGGGGGGCCGCACAGCCCTCCATGTGCTCGCCAGAGGTAGCCTGACTGCCATTAGGTACCGAGATGAGATCCTCGGACCCCTTGTGAGACCATATGCTGGTGCGGTTGGCCCTGGGTTCCTCCTAATGCAAGACAATGCTAGACCTCATGTGGCTGGAGTGTGTCAGCAGTTCCTGCAAGAGGAAGGCATTGATGCTATGGACCGCCCGTTCCCCAGACCTGAATCCAATTGAGCACATCTGGGACATCATGTCTCGCTCCATCCACCAACGCCACGTTGCACCACAGACTGTCCAGGAGTTGGCGGATGCTTTAGTCCAGGTCTGGGAGGAGATACCTCAGGAGACCATCCGCCACCTCATCAGGAGCATGCCCAGGCGTTGTAGGGAGTTCATACAGGCATGTGGAGGCCACACACTACTGAGCCTCATTTTGACTTGTTTTAAGGACATTACACCAAAGTTAGATCAGCCTGTAGTGTGGTTTTCCACTTTAAATTTTGAGGGCGACTCCAAATCCAGACCTCCATGGGTTGATAAATTTGATTTCCATTGATAATTTGTGTGTGATTTTGTTGTCAGCACATTCAACTATGTAAAGAAAAAAGTATTTAATAACATTATTTCATTCATTCAGATCTAGGATGTGTTATTTTAGTGTTCCCTTTATTTTTTTGAGCAGTGTATATTCTTTAGCTCATATTTACTACATATATTCCTTAGTTACAGACTCAGTGTTAACCTTTTGCCTCAATTCAACATTCAGATAAGTTCCAAAACTTTGTCACTCGCCACACCTACAGTATGTCGCATGAAATCTGCAGTTTAGTCAAAACTATTCCGATTTGTCCTTTTAATATAACATTTGGAATCAATGAGACGGCATTAATCGATCAAAATCTTTTTACTGACTTGTTTTGTTCATCTGACTGTAATAGCACACGTTTGTGATAGTTTCCATTTCAATATTGTGGTAGAATACGAGCGATAACGACCGTAAGTCTTTCCATGTCTGTTTTTATACGGTGCTGTAGAACCATTCCTTTGGCTTCTTTGAATATTGCTTAAGTTACGTCAAATGTATTTGTTGTGCTTTTGCACGGTGTTTAAGGATGTTTTGGAATTTGAGCTGTACTTTTGACTGCTGTTAATAAAATCAATTTATGCAAAAGTTATGAGAATCAATAGCATATGATCATACTATTTATAGCACTTTAGTTATTTAACACCACCACTCATTTAAAATGAAAATAGAACAATGTGTAATTAGAATCTTTATTAAAAGACAAATTAAACAGTGAAGAGAGGACTTCTGCGTTGCCAGTTACACCGATTGTATCAGCATAATCTTCATTTGGCAAACAATATCAGCTTCATCTTGGTCAAACGTCTTATACATGGAGTTTGGATACGGTGACATGACAATGGGATAAAATCTAGGGATTTTCATTTTAGATACCAAAAATTCTATGGATTGGTGAGAATTCTCTAAAATCATGCTGAATTAATGTTAGCTTTATATGATCAGATAAGTATTTTAAAATCAGGAGCTAACCATTGTATACAGATGACCATCTCATGGCAAATGCATACGAGTCCCAACACACACAGAATGAGTGAACATCACATTTTAGGATAGAACGCATCCTTCCCATAGAGAACATTGTGCAACAGTTGATCCAACCTTAAAATATCATCAAAAAAAAAGAAAAAATAAGTTAACCTAAGGATTAAGTAACTAAAGCCATTTGAAATGCACCTACCGGGTCAGATTTTTTTAAATATTTTTTTTACGTTTGACCCAAGTTAAACAATTTAAAGGCAATGCTACCAAATACTAATTGAGTGTATGTAAACGTCTGACCCACTGGGAATGTGATGAAAGAACATGTAAAAAAAAATACAAAAAATAAAGTGCACAAACTTTAAAATTATACAAATCCAAAAATAGTCTTTCAAATAAAAAAAATGGTATCTACATTTGTTTATAAAAATGAACAGAGGTGATAAGTTAGACCTTTTTCAGTATTCAAACCCCATATACTTTTTTTTTTTTTACACAACTGCAAGACTATCTATGGACATACCTGCAGTACAACCCTGCCGTAGCAGAGCAGGAGTGGGGACAGTGCTCAGAGAGATGCAGGTTTAAAACAGTGAATTAAGACTGCGTATTTATCCAAAACATACAAGGAAAGCTACCTTCATTTTTTCAGACCAAGTCCATTTCATTTTGATTGAGGCCTCTGACATAGTAGGTAGAACGTTTAAAGGTATAACAAATCAGTTGATTCCAAGGAACACTCGTTAAAGATGGGGCAACGATACACCTCCCTGCCTCTCCTTTAGCCAGCCGCTGTAGGCCTGTAGGAGAATCGAAGGCACCTTAGGACCCTGATAGATTTGGCTTGTGTTGACCTCTAGTTCCCCACTTCCATATCCCTGTCATCATACAGTTGAAGTCGGAAGTTTACATACACTTCAATTGGAGTCATTAAAACTCGTTTTTTCAACCACTCCACAAATTTCTTGTTAACAAACTATACTTTTGGCAAGTCGGTTAGGACATCTACTTTGTGCATGACAAGTAATTTTTCCAACAATTGTTTACAGACCGATTATTTCACTTATAATTCACTATATCACAATTCCAGTGGGTCAGAAGTGGGACTGTGCCTTTAAACAGCTTGGAAAATTCCAGAAAATGATGTCATGGCTTTAGAAGCTTCTGGTAGGCTAATTGACATCATTTGAGTCAATTGGAGGTGTACCTGTGGATGTATTTCAAGGCCTACCTTCAAACTCAGTGCCTCTTTGCTTGACATCATGGGAAAATCAAAAGAAATCAGCCAAGACCTCAGAAAAAAAGTTGTAGACCTCCACAAGTCTGGTTCATCCTTTGGAGCAATTTCCAAACGCCTGAAGGTACCATGTTCATCTGTACAAACAATAGTGCGCAAGTATAAACACTATGAGACCACGCAGCCGTCATACTGCTCAGGAAGGAGACGCGTTCTGTCTCCTAGAGATGAACGTACTTTGGTATGAAAAGTGCAAATCAATCTCAGAACAACAGCAAAGGACCTTGTGAAGATGCTGGAGGAAACAGGTACAAAAGTATCTATATCCACAGTAAAACGACTCCTATATCGACATAACCTGAAAGGCTGCTCATCAAGGAAGAAGCTACTGCTCCAAAACCGCCATAAAAAGCCAGACTACGGTTTGCAACTGCACATGGGGACAAATATCGTACTTTTTGGAGAAATGTCCTCTGGTCTGATGAAACAAAAATAGAACTGTTTGGCCATAATGACCATCGTTATGTTTGGAGGAAAAAGGGGGACCTTGCAAGCCGAAGAACACCATCCCAACCGTGAAGCACGGGGGTGGCAGCATCATGCTGTGGGGGTGCTTTGATGCAGGAGAGACTGGTGTACTTCACAAAATAGATGGCATCATGAGGAAGGAAAATTATGTGGATATATTGAAGCAACATCTCAAAGTTGTGGCAAAATGGCTTAAGGACAACAAAGTCAAGGTATTGAAGTGGCCATCACAAAGCCCTGACCTCAATCCTATAGAACATTTGTGGGCAGAACTGAAAAAGCGTGTGCGAGCAAGGAGGCCTACAAACCTGAGTCAGTTACACCAGCTCTGTCAGGAGGAATGGGCCAAAATTCACCCAACTTATTGTGGGAAGCTTGTGGAAGGCTACCCAAAAAGTTTGACCCAAGTTAAACAATTTAAAAGGCAATGCTACCAAATACTAATTGAGTGTATGTAAACGTCTGACCCACTGGGAATGTGATGAAATAAATAAAAGCTGAAATAAATAATTCTCTGTACTATTATTCTGACATTTCACATTCGTAAAATAAAGTGGTGATCCTAACTGACCTAAGACAGGGAATTTTTACTAGGATTAAATGTCAGGAATTGTGAAAAACTGAGTTTAAATGTGTTTGGCTAAGGTGTATATAAACTTCCGACTTCAACTGTATGTGCTCCAGGAAGAACAGCATGTAGTGATTCCAGCAGTGACATGACAGACGTGTTGGAGTGTGCTTCACCCTCCAGCCTATACAGTTAGTTCATCATGCAGTACAAACACAAAAAACACTCCCCACTTACTTAGGACAGAGACTTAAAGCTCAACTCTGTACAGACAGAACGACCTCCTGCATAACAGATTGTAAACTTAAAAGTAGGGACATTGAGAACAGACGCACAGCACAAAGACACGCTTACAAAACACACACACACACAGCATGTCATTGACATGTACAGCAAAGCATTTAGATCCAGGTGTAATCTGCCCTTTCAGATGCCAGCCCACATGTTCACATCTCCTCCCATCACACACTGCAGACCTGGGAGGGGCCCAGGAGGACACGTGCATTGTAGAGAACTAGAGCTCGAAAAAGGATTCGTCTAGACGAGACCATCCTTATCGGTTTACATTGAGAACATGTGTGGGACACATAAGACTTAGGCCAGACTTAAGGGAAGGTAGTATTCAACTGCTAGTCTCTGGAACATCGTGCACAGATGGCATAGTATTGTACTGCAGTAACCATTTGGGTTGGTAAGGTAGTTACAAATCTCTTCAAAAAAGCAAAAAAGATAAGAGCTATGGTCTCAGGTAAAATAAAAGCAGCTTGGAATCAGAGTCTTGAGTCTCCTTCACTTTCCACAAATCAGTCTGCAAGACTCAGTAGAAAAACAAAACCAAAAGCAGTCTGTTCAATTTTGGGTCCAGAAACAGGAAAGGTGTGGAGTTATCACTTGGGCACCAGCCCACGGGATTGTGGGTATAAAGGATGTCCTGGGCTGGAGGGTCTGTATGGAGAGGTGGGGGTGTGAGAGGTAGAGGTGCCAGTCTTCTTACCGGTTTTAGGTCGGCTGGTTGGAGGAGAAGAGGATAAAGTTGTTATTTATTTATTTATTTTTTGTGGGGGGGGGGGGGGACATCGATGTGGAAAAATCATTGGATGGCTTCTAAATTTGCTTATGATTATTGCTTTATAAACCCTGTGATATCGAGTAGACCCGTGACACTAAACAGGCAGAAACCCTCCCTATTGAAAATAACGGGGAACAAAACCCAGAATGGCGCTGGAGGGAATAGTGGTCGTTTTACAGGCTCCTGACCAATTGTGCTATTTTGTGTATTTCTTTGCACCGATCTTAACTTTTTCTGTACATAAAGTTTCCGCCATCGTTTCCTATGACAGAAAATAGCTTCTGGAGATCAGAACAGCAGTCACTAACCTCCATTTGGACGACGACTTCTACTTCAATGAGTCGGAGGTGAAAGACTGATTGTCGCGGACCAGGCCCAAATCCCCGACACTCAAAAGGAGGAGGAGACGGCGCTATAGAGGCCAGTGTGCACAACACCTGACGAGACTACGTCGGAGAGCGGATAAAGTGCCTCTACCCTCACTTCACTGGATGAGCGCCGTTCAAGACTATCTTATCAACGGGACCTGAACAACTGTAATATCCTGTTTCTCCGAGTTGTGGCTGAACAAGGACAATATAACATCTTGGCAGGAGAGAATGGTGACGTCGGGGAAGATCTCTATTTGTTAACAGAAACACGATCTCTAATATTTAGAAAGTCTGGCGGTTCTACTCGCCTGAGTTACAATACCTCATGACAAGCTGTAGACTAGTGCTGCATGGGTTGACTCAACCCGCAGTCAACGTGGTTAAATCCGCAGGGCGGATTGGTTTAGAGTCATGAAATATTGTGTGGATGAAGGGCGGGTGGGTGGCGGCGGGTTGAATACAAAGAAAACACAATACATTGAATTCCATGAATGTATAATTCATATCTATAAGCTACATTGAAGTTTTTATTTCATTATTTTAGGTTCTGGTATTAGTGCGTAAACCTAAGCTTTAGGGCCTAACTGTACGCGTAAATAGCCTTCACGCCAATCGCCAAATGCTTTCAGATACGGACAGACAACGTGAACTTCAATCCATGGAGGCAAAAAGGACAATGTCGGAGTTTAATTCAATAAGAGAAAAACTGTGAAAAGGAGAGTTGAAAATAAAGAGAAGGGAGGGCCAGAAAAGTAATGTTTGGGAAAGATTTGGTGAAGCGGTAAAAGAGGATGGTAGTTATGCGTGATAGAGGGGGACGTCAACTAGGCCTATGGCATGTCAAGGGAGCTGTAGCCTACTGTTTAGATGGGTTAAATGGAAACTGAAATCTGGCCACCGACTGTAGGTCTATAACCTCTCACATATTATTATTATTAATATTATTATTATTAAGGCTAACTACTGCAGAATTAAGCATTTCTTGCAGCAAAATTTTGACTCGGAAACAGGAGTGGAAAAAATCTGATTTCTTTCAGCATCTTGAGAGAATGCGAATGCTCAGTTAGGGACTGTCTGTAGAGGTACTATCTTTATCTGCGTCATAAAAGCGTATAGTATTTAAACCACATAAAATATGCATCAGGGCCAAACTGAACTCTTATCAGAAACATGTTGGGTCGGTTCCACAGCTATCTATTTCCTTACAAGCGGTCAAACTGATGTCATTTGGACATTATTTTAAATTATTGCATTTTCTCCCAAGTCCCTAATCGTCTTTGCTCCAGGAATGAAGAAACAGATGAAATAACAATAATAATATGCCATTTAGCAGACACTTTTATCCAAAGCGACTTACAGTCATGCGTGCATACATTTCTGTGTATGGGTGGTCCCGGGGATCGAACCCACTACCCTGGCGTTACAAGCGCCGTGCTCTACCAGCTGAGCTACAGAGGACCACCCAGAATAAAACGTTATCGATGTCAACTAGATTGAAGCATTCATTCTATCGATTTATGACATTATTCTGGTGAGCAAGGGTTTATTTAGTCTTCTAAGGCAACATATAATGACAGAAGAGATGCCGCATGCATCTAATTATGGAGAAGTTGACTAACAAATAGTCTACCAAAATGTTTGAAATTATAAACAGAAACATCTAAATCAGGCAACAACAAAAAAATTATCTGCACCCCCTGTCAAAAACTCATTCTGCCATCTGACTGTAGCCTATAGCACATGTTCTATATTTGCGGGTTAGGGTCGGGCGTGGGCCTCATATTTTCACATATAGTCAGGCGGTTGCGGGTGGGTTATTAACATTTGCGTGCGGGTGAACAAACAGCTGACCCGCACACCACTACTGTAGACCACACTATTTACCAAGAGAGTTTCTTTATTTTTCGTAGCTGTCCATTTACCACCACAAACCGATGCTGGCACTAAGACCGCACTCAACGAGCTGTAGAAGGCCATAAGCAAACAAGAAAAGCATCCGATGAAGCGGATGCTACGCTACAGGACCATGTTGCTACAACAGACTTTAAAATGTTCCGGGATTCATCAGATGAAACGGTGGAGTTTATCACATCATTCACCGGATTCATTAATAAAGTGCATTGACGTCGTCGTCTCCACAGTGACCGTACGTACAATACCCAACCAAAGAGCAGGATGCTAATCCGGACGCTTATAAGAAATCCCGCTACGCCCTCCGACGAACCATCAAACTGGCAAAGCATAAATACAGGACCAAGATCGAATCCTACTACACCGGCTCTGACGTGGCAGGGCTTGCAAACTATCACGGATATCAAAGAGAAACACAGCCGCAAGCTGTCCAGTGACGCGAGCCTACCAGACGAGCTAAATACCTTTCTTCGAGGCTAGCAACACCAGCTGTTCCGGACAACTGTGTGATCACGCTCTCCGTAGCCGATGTGAGGAAGACCTTTAAACCCGTTAGCATTCACAAGGCTGCAGGGCAAGACGGATTACCAGGACGAGTACTCAGAGCAAGCACTGACCAGCTGGCAAGTGTCTTCAATGACATTTTCAACCTCTCCCCTCTCCCTGTCTGTAATACCTACATGTTTCAAGCAGACCACCAGAGTCCCTGTGCCCAAGAACGCCAAGGTAACCTGTCTAAATTACTACCGCCCAGTAGCACTCACATCAGTAGCCATGAAATGCTTTGAAAGGCTGGTCATGGCTCACATCATCACCCTGGACCCACTCCAATTCGCATACCGCCCCAACAGATCCATAGATTTCTATTGCACTCCACACTTCCCTTACCCCTCTGGACAAAAGGAACACCTCCGTTAGAATGCTGTTAACTGACTACAGCTCAGCCTTCACCACCATAGTCTATTCCCCTCTAAGCTCATCACTAGCTAAGGACCCTGGGATTAAACACCTCCCTTTGCAACTGGATCCTGGACTTCCTGACGGGCTGCCCCCAGGTGGTGAGGGTAGGCAACAACACATCCGCCACGCTGACCCTCAACACGGTTTGCCGACGACACGGTGGTAGGCCTGATCACCGACAACAATGACACAGCCTACAGGGAGGAGGTCAGAGACCTAGCAGTGGTGCCAGGACCACAACCTCTCCTTCAATGTCAGCAAGACAAAAGAGCGGATGGTGGACTACAGGAAATGGAGGGCCGAACACGTCCCCATCCACGTCAATGGGACTGTAGAGGAGCAGGTCGAGAGCTTCCTCGGTGTCCACATCACTAAGGAATTATCATGGTCCACACACACCAACAGCCGTGATGAAGGCACGACAATACCTCTTCCCCATTAGGGAGGCTGAAAAGATTTGGCATGGGCCCTCAGATCCTCTAAAACAGGGGTGTCAAACGTACGGCCCGCGGGCCGGATCAGGCCCGCAAACGGGTTTAATCTGGCCCGCGAGATGATTTTGAAAAAAAAAAAAAATATATATATATATATATATATATATATATATATATATATATATATATTTTTTTTTTTTTGTAAAGTATAAAAATGCGCTGCAATTTTTCAATAAAATAAACTGCTGTTCCAATTGCGTCCACTGGATGGCGCAATAGCAATTGTGTTAAGCAAGCAAACTGTTTATACCGGGGCAGAGCAAGTAGGTCAAGCACGTGCAGCCAATGAGCTACTTTGTTTTGCCCGCGATATTTATTACGGCTTCTACTTTTAACATTATGTGCTTTGGCACCCTCACTGCCCCAATATGTCTCTGTCAAAAAAGAGAAAAGTGGACGCAGAGTGCAGAGTGTTCCAAGAAAAATTGTCATCCTATTTATTCACGGAATTGAATGGGAAAGCTGTATGTTTGGTGTGTTCAGAGCATGTTGCAGTGCTGAAAGAATATAACCTTCGTCGCCACTATGTGAGTCTTCATGCCGACAAATATGACAACTTTCAAGGACAGCGGAGATGAGAGAAGGTGAATGAACTGTTGGCGGGTCTGAAGAAACAGCAGTCTGTGTTTACTCACAGCCGAGACATCAGTGACTCTGCAGTGAAAGCTAGCTACCTCATTGCTAATGAAATCGCAGTGGCTTCAAAACCATTTAGTGAGGGTGAATTTGTAAAAACATGCATGATGAAGGCAGCGGAGATTGTGTGCCCTGAAAAACGGCAGGCTTTTGCAAATATCAGCCTGACAAGAAACACAGTTGCAGACAGGATTTCCGATCTTTCAGTGGATTTGGACAGCCAGTTGAAGCAAAAAGTAAAGTCATTTATTGCGTTTTCGGTTGCAATTGATGAACGCACAGACATTACAGATGTTGCACAACTGGCCATTTTCATCCGCGGAGTTGATGACACATTGACCGTCACCGAGGAGTTCGTGGAGTTGGTGCCGATGACAGATACAACGACAGCAGCTGATATTTTTACCGCTCTCGTCGGCGCGCTGGACAGGGTCGGAGTGGACTGGTCCCGCGCTGTCAGCCTGGCTACAGATGGTGCGCCCTCAATGATCGGGAAAAAAGCAGGCGTTGTGACAAAGTTCAGAGAGAAAGTGCAATCTGCAAATGGAGGACGTGATTTTTTGACTTTTCACTGTATTTTGCACCAGGAGGCTTTGTGTTGCAAGTAATTAAAGATGGATAACGTCATGAAGGTGGTCATCCAAACTGTTCATTTCATCCGATCCAGAAGCCTGAATCACCGTCAGTTTGACAGCCTTCTCAGAGAGAAAGACCACATCTATGGCCTGCCATACCACACTGAGGTAAGATGGTTAAGCCGAGGTGCTGTGCTGAGGCGTTTCTTTGATTTACGAGAAGAAATTGAACAGTTCATGGAAGAAAAGGGCAAACCAGTGTTAGAATTTCATTCCGCAGAATGGATGCAGGACCTTGCATTTATGGTGGATGTTACAGAGCACCTGAATAACTTGAACAAACAGCTGCAAGGGCGCAACAAAGTTGTCACGCAGTATTATGACAGCATACGTTCTTTCAAGTTGAAGCTGTCATTGTGGGAGACGCAACTTGCCGGTGGTGATGCAGCTCACTTCCCCTGTCTGAAAAATGTGTGCGCGACCCAACATGTGGCAGACATGAAGCGGTTCAAAGATAAAATAACGGGACTGTTACGGGAGTTTGAGCAATGCTTTCAGATTTATGTTTATATGTTTTTATGTTGATGTGCTATTGTTTTTAATTGATTTTATTTGTATATTTAACCTATTCTTGACTCTGTGGTTCTTGCACTTGTTTGGGGAAGAGGATTTCATTATTTTTATCTACATTTCTGCCTGAGAAATGACACCCTGATATAGTTCTGTGATCTGTGAAACAGTTCTGTTAATCACTGAGGCATTGTGTGTTTGTGTGTTCTTTTTCTTTAGAATTTTCAAATAAACTTGACGTGTTTTATGATTAATAGTGATGTTGTGCTTGTACTATTTTGGACACACTGTCCTCAGGCTCCAGCTTTATGTTGTATGTTGATCGTATTAAAACAAAGAAAACAATCTGAAGTTGTTGTTTTTAAGTTATATATATACCATGATTTTTCCGGTCCGGCCCACTTGGGAATAGATTTTCCTCCATGTGGCCCCTGAGCTAAAATGAGTTTGACACACCTGCTCTAAAAGTTATACAGCTGCACCATTGAGAGCATCTTGACTGGCTGCATCACTGCTTGGCATCCGACCGCAAGGCGCTACAGAGGGTAGTGTGTACGGCCCAGTACATCACTGGAGCCGAGCTCCCTGCCATCCAGGACCTCTATACCAGGCGGTGTGAGGAAGGCCCTAAAAATTGTCAAAGACTCCAGCCACCCAAGTTATAGACTGTTCTCTCTGCTACCACTCGGCAAGTGGTACTAATGCACTAAATTTGGAACCAACAGGACCCTGAACAGCTTCTACCCCCAAGCCATGAGACTGCAAAATATTTAGTTAAATAGTTAACCAAATAGCTACCCGGACTATCTGCATTGACCCTTTTTGCACCAACTCTTTTGACTCATCTCATGCGCTGCGGTTACGGTTTATTATCTATCCTGTTGCCTAGTCACTTTATTCCTAGTTATATGTACACTACATTAACAAAAGTATGTGGACACCCGCTCATCGAACATCTAATTCCAAAACCATTAATATGGAGTTGCTGCGGGGACTTGCTTCCATTCAGCCACAAGAGCATTAGTGAGGTCGGGCACTGATGTTGGGCGATTAGGCCTGGCTCGCAGTCGGCGTTCCAATTCATCCCAAAGGTGTTCGATGGGGTTGAGGTCAGCACTCTGTGCAGGCCAGTCTAGTTCTTCCAAACCGATCTCGACAAATAATTTCTGTATGGACCTCACTTTGTGCACGGGGGCATTGTCATGCTGAAACAGGAAAGGGCCACAACGATGGAAGCACAGAATCATCTAGAATGTCATTGTATGCTGTAGCGTTAAGATTTCCCTTCACTGGAACTAAGGGTCCTAGCCCGAACCATGAAGAACAGCCCCAGACCATTATTCCTCCTCCACCAAACTTTACAGTTGGCACTAAGCAGTGGGGCAGGTAGCGTTCTCCTGGCATCCGCCAAACCCAGATTAGTCCGTCGGACTGCCAGATGGTGAAGCGTGATTTATCACTCCAGAGAGCACGTTTCCACTGCTCCAGAGTCCAATGGCGGCGAGCTTTACACCACTCCAGCCGACGCTTGGCATTGCGCAAGGTGATCTTAGGCTTGTGTGCGGCTGCTCGGCCATGGAAACCCATTTCATAAAGCTCCCGACGAACAGTTCTTGTGCTGACGTTGCTTCCAGAGGCAGTTTGGAACTCGGTAGTGAGTGTTGGAACTCGGTAGTGAGTGTTGGAACTCGGTAGTGAGTGTTGGAACCGAAGACAATTTTATGCGTTATGTTCTTCAGCGGTCCCGTTCTGAGAGCTTGTGTGGCCTACCACTTCACGGCTGAGCCGTTGTTGCTCCTAGACGTTTCCACTTCACAATAACAGCACTTACAGTTGACCGTGGCAGCTCTAGCAGGACAAAAATTGGACAAACTGACTTGTTGGAAAGGTGGCATCCTATGACGATGACACGTTGAAAGTCACTGAGCTCTTCAGTAAGACCATTCTACTGCCAATGTTTGTCTATGGAGATTGCATGGTTGTGTACTCAATTTTATACACCTGTCAGCAACGGGTGTGGCTGAAATATCAGAATCGACTAATTTGAAGGGGTGTCCACATACTTGTGTATTTCGTGTACATATCTACCTCTATCTTGTACATCGACTCGGTACTGGTACCCCGTGTATATAGCCAAGCGATCATTACTCATTGTATATTTATTCCTTGTGTTATTATTTTTCTACTATTTCCCTTATTTTATTTATTTTTTTGCATTGTTGGAAAGTCTACAATTGTTGTTTACGAAGCGTGTGACAAATACAAATTGATTTGATTATTTGTACTGAATGGGACAGAGCCTTACCCAGACTTTGGTTTCTTGACTGCCCCAGTGCTGGTGGGCCCGAGGCCGCTGTGGAATCCGGAGGCATCCACCTGGATCTCATCCTCTTCCCGCAGTGCATCCTCCAACGCTGCTGCTACTGTGGGTGCTAAGACCGGCTCCTCATACTCCTTAGTGGTCCGAGCGGGCAGGTCCATCCCCAGCATCAGGATATTCTCAGCCTGGGGAGACAGACCGAGAGAGAGACAGACCGAGAGAGAGAGAGAGAGAGAGAGAGAGAGAGAGACAGACCGAGAGAGAGAGAGAGAGAGAGAGAGAGAGAGACAGACCGAGAGAGAGAGAGAGACCGAGAGAGAGAGAGAGACCGAGAGAGAGAGAGGAGGGTCAGATGTCAGGAAACTGCTACCAATCAGAGGACAAGGCCTGAGTCACATTCACCAGACACAGGGAGGGACAGAGAGCAGAGGAGAAGGACAGAGAGGATAAAGAAGATACCTTGTATCTGACGTCAGCCCTCATCACCATGGAGGTGCGGGCGTGCTGGCTCAGGGGTCTTCTGTAGCCCACCGCTGACACTGGCCTGGTCATCATCTGCTGGTCACTGAGAGAGTTATAACAAATTGTATGGCTGTCTTTTGATGAGGGTTATCAAAGGCATACAATTTGTATGTGTTCCCTCCTACACGAGGGATTTGCCAACCACTTAGGTCAAACCCTGTGCATGTATGCATTATTGCAGCGTGTTCGTATGCGTATTTGACCATGTGTATGTCTAAACGTCTGTCTACTGCATCATTCATGTGCACATACTCCTCTATGCGTGTGATGGGACGCATCTTCCAGTTGTCGTCCTCCTCCTCGATGAACGCCCTGTTCACGATCTTATTCTTCTCCTCCATGGGGATGAAGTTCTCAATGACGAGATGCCTGGCAGACAGAATAACAATGACGAGATGCCTGGCAGACAGAATAACAATGACGAGATGCCTGGCAGACAGAATAACAATGATGAGATGCCTGGCAGACAGAATAACAATGACGAGATGCCTGGCAGACAGAATAACAATGATGAGATGCCTGGCAGACAGAATAACAATGACGAGATGCCTGGCAGACAGAATAACAATGACGAGATGCCTGGCAGACAGAATAACAATGACGAGATGCCTGGCAGACAGAATAACAATGATGAGATGCCTGGCAGACAGAATAACAATGACGAGATGCCTGGCAGACATTTACGTCATTTAGCAGATGCTCTTATCCAGAGTGACTTACAAATTGGTGCATTCAACTTATGATAGCCAGTTTTTTTTTTTTTTTTTTTTAATGGGGGGGTGGGGGAGGGGGTAGAAGGATTACTTTTACTTTACTTTTTTGTCATTTAGCAGACACTCTTATCCAGAGCGACTTACAGTTTTTTGTTTTTTTCATACCCCCCGTGGGAATCGAACCCACAACCCTGGCGTTGCAAACGCCATGCTCTACCAACTGAGCTACATCCCTGCCGGCCATTCCCTCCCCTACCCTAGACGACGCTGGGCCAATTGTGCGCCGCCCCATGGGTCTCCCGGTCGCGGCCGGCTACGACAGAGCCTGGAGCCTTTATACTATTCCAGACAGAATAACAATGACGAGATGCCTGGCAGACAGAATAACGAGGTCAGATCTGCTGTGCTGCTGACAGGGGACGTCTTAACGGCCTGAGGATACCATCATTGATAATAGGAGGATGCCTAGGCAGTCATGGGGGATGAGGGAACCACAGTACAATACCTAATCTAGACCAACTCTATGTTTCTTCCTGATATTCAAGGCCAAATCCAGGTCAAAGCTAAAATCAATCATGTTTATTCCAGCAATGTGCTCTTTGTCAGAGGGCAACAACCAAAATAGATTACATTGACTTTTTTTTTTTTTATAGCGTCTGAGGCTGGTGGCCTGGCGGACTCCATACTTGAGTTTGAGATCCCTGGTCAACTCGTTCTGGGTCTGCTCCAGCTCCTGTCTGTCCTTGATGTGCAACTCCTGGACCTCATGGATCTCATTTTTCACTGCCTGCAGCTTGGCAAACAGCTGAGGGGAGGAAAACAGATGGACAAGAGGAGACAAAACATCATGCTGTTTGTTTCAGTGTAACAAACTAAATGTACCAAGCGCCAAAGAACACTGAACACATTGTGACATGCACAATCTCCTTTGAACTCTCATGTAAAATGACAACGTAAAGGATAGCGGTCTACTGAATCATGTGCACTCTTTTGCTACAGTTCCTGATCTCCTACCTTTTTCAGCTTCTTGGTCTTGATGTCCACTTCCTGCTGTAGAGAGCTGTATGTTTCCTTCAACTCCAGGGTCTCCTCATCACGATTCTCCACCTGCTGTTGCATCTCCCTCTCTCTGCGTTTCTGCACACACACACACACACACACACACACACACACACACACAGAGAGAGCCTCTCAGTAAGAAGGGCAAGGCTATGTAATCCCACAAAGTACACTACTCACATAAATCGTTTAACTCTTCCCATCAGATGGCAAATCAATACTATTAGATTGTCTAGTGTTCAATTCTCTCCATCAATAAAGTCCATACATACATACATACATACATATTACCTGTTCAGCTATTTCCTGTCGTTTCTGTTCGAGGATCCTTTGTTGCTCATTGGTGTGGTCCACAATGTTCTTCCCCCCCACCAGAAGCTTACTCTCCATCGTCTGGGAGAGGACACAATCAAGAGGTTTGAGAGAAACACACATATAGAATGAAAAAGAGAATGTTGGGGTGAAAAGGACAAGAATGTAATCTCCTCACCTTGACTTTGGCAGTCAGCATCTCGCCTGCTTCCTGCTCCCTTTTGAGGGCGTCCATCTTCCTCGCCTTCTCTTTTAGCAGCCTCTGTTTCTCTTCCGCCACTAGACTGTGATCCTCCATGATAGCCTTCCTCTCCCTCTCCAACTTCTCCTGCTGTTCACGCCAATAATCCGCACCCACTTTATCAGATGGTTCTACACCATCATCATCATCCTCCGTCTCTCCATCCTCCGTGTCCTCTTCTAGCTCTTCCCCAGCTTCTCCAACCCTCCTCCTCCTCCTCTTCTTCCCTGAGCGTTTCTCTAACTGCTCTTTGAGCCGGGCAATCTCTTCCTGGAACTCTCTGAGCAGAGCATCTTTGGGGTCCTCGTTGACGCGGGGCTTGTTCTTGATGTTCTTGGCCCGGTTTGAGTAGCGTAATGTGGTCAGTGTCTCCTCCACGTTGTAAGAGGCTGGTCCGATGTTAGCCACCATGACTGTGCGGGCATTGCCCCCCAGGGAGTCTTGCAGCAGGCGGGTGAGCTTGGAGTCGCGGTAGGGGATGTGGGTGCTCCTGCCGTCCACCAGGGCAGAGATGACATTCCCCAAGGCTGACAGGGACAGGTTGATCTTGGTGGCTTCCTTCAGGCGCTCTCCCTGGGCTCCTGTCTTGGTCTGCCTCTCACTACCAGCCAGGTCCACCAGGTTCAGTTTGCCCACTCGAATGTGGTTCTCTCCGTCGACGCCCATCTCGCTGCACTCAATGGTAATGACGAAAATGGCATGTGACCGGGAACTGTGCTCATTCATATTGGTGGAGCCCACCGAGCGGTTCTGGTTCCCCACGTTCATGACGTGCTCTATTTCTCGTACACTCTTAGTGACGAAGGAGGAGAGGTCCTTGACGTATACACCCGTGTCTGGCCTCTCTTTCAGCTCCAGACGGCAGGACTGGTCCTTGGAAAGCAGGTCCCTGATCTCCTCTTGGTAGATCTCCAGGTAAGAGGCCCTCACCAGGTACTGCTGGTTCTGGGAGCGGGAGATGTGTGTGAAGATGTGCTCAAAGGAATTGGGGATTACACCCCTTCTCTCTGGGTCACTGTGCACCCCCTCCATAGTGTAGGTCTTTCCTGTACCTGTCTGGCCGTACGCAAATATGGTCCCATTGAAACCAAGCAAGACAGAGTCCACCAGAGGCCTGAAGGTTTCATCATAGAGATCCACCTGTTTGGAGTTCCAGTCATACACAGAGTCAAATGTAAAGACCTTGGGGTGTTGGTGGGCTGCAGCGCCCCGGGGGTTTCTCACGGCCACCTGGCCAAGCTCCACATCCACCTCCACCACCCTCTCAAAGTTGGCTGCACGCTCCTTCTCATTCATGGGCCGACAGCGGACCACCACCTTCACCGACTCTCTGGTCTTAGACATTGTGAGAGTTCTCAGACAAACTGGCCTTGTCCCCTGGCTTGTGTTTCTTTCCTTCAAGTAATGTAAAAGTCAGAGATGCCAGCATCAGAACCTGTAAAAATAGAAGAAAAAAAACGTATATGATTATGTTCAAATAGCTATTGCCAACACGATTAGTTCATGTTTTCTTTTGTGATTATGAAGACCTTTGTGCAATGTGCATCAAACTAGCTTCCTGGCTACAGTGTTTTCAGCCAGATAGCTAGCAGCTACACTACATGGCCAAAAGTATGTGGGCACCTGCTTGTCGAACATCTAATTCCAAAATCATGGGTATTAATATGGAGTTGGTCCCCCCCTTTGCTGCTATAACAGTCTCCACTCTTCTGGGAAGGCTTTCCACTAGATGTTGGAACATTGTTGCGGGGACTTGCTTCCATTCAGCCACAAGAGCATTAGTTAGGTCAGGCACCGAACAACAAACCTTTTCTGTATGGACCTCGCTTTGTGGACCGAGGCATTGTCATGCTGAAACAGGAAAGGGCCTTCTCCAAACTGTTGCCACAAAGTTGGAAGCACAGTATTGTATAGAATGTAATTGTATGCTGTAGCGTTAAGATTTCCCTTCACTGGAACTAAAGGGCATAGCCCGAAACATGAAAAACAGCCCCAGATCATTATTCCTCCTCCACCAAAGTTTACAGTTGGCACTATGCAGTCGGGCAGGTAGCGTTCTCCTGGCATCTGCCAAACCCAGATCTGACTAGCAGGTCTTGTGCTGACGTTGCTTCCAGAGGCAGTTTGGAACTCGGTACTGAGTGTTGCAACTGAGGACAGAATTTGTTTTGCTTGTGTGTGGCCTACCACTTCGTGGCTGAGCCTTTATCGCTCCTAAACGTTTCCACTTCACAATAACAGCGCTGACAGTTGACCAGGCAGTTCTAGCAGGGCAGAATTTTGATGAATTTACTTCGTCCTATGATGGTGCACGTTGAAAGTCACTGAGCTCTTCAGTACTGGCCATTCTACTGCCAATGTTTGTCTATTGAGATTGCATGGCTGTGTGCTTGATGTTATACACCTGCCAGCAACGGGTGTGGCTGAAATAGCCGAATCCACTAATTTGAAGGGATGTCCACATACTTTTGGCCATGTAGCGTAGTTAGCAAGCTAACAAGACAACACAGCTGGCCAGCGACGTTTAGCTAGCTAGCAGCTTGAGTTCAGTTACACTGCTAGCCAGCTGGTTAATAAAACTAACTAGCTAACTAGGCAAGAGCACAACATATAATTAGGTTAGCCAAGCTAGCTACTGTATTAGTTTGCTAAATAATTTCACTAGCAAAACCTTAAAATGCATGACTTATTAGCACACAAAGAAAAAACACGTTAGCTTGGCAAGTTAGCTAGATATCAGTCAGTGCTCCCTGGTGATAGCGTCGGAATAGATCAACTGATGGCATTTCCAGTTCTAGCTAGCTAACGTTAGTTGATTGATGCTAACATACTAGCTAGCCAGTTCGTCGCTGTGAACCGGCAAAATAATCCATTGTCAAGGCTTTTCGGTTTGCTCATTCTAGCAATTATAGCAACAAGAAGATATCTAGCTAGCGAATTAGCGAACATGTTCACATCACCCGGCAACAGATTAGAAAATGTGATTTTTCTAGCCAGCTCGTTTACAAAGAATCGGGACAGCACCCCAACAGCCTCGATCGGACGGCCTAGCAACGGCAAAAACACATCCATTCTCAGAAAGGGCAGGAGACAAGCCAGTGCATTTTGATGATGGGAGGCATCTCCTTATGCAGTTTACGAGAACAAGCACACAGTTAAACTGATACTCATTTTGACATTGTTAACTAGCTACAATGCAAAATCCATGACAACATTAACATTGTCCGCTAGTTACCAGTCAATCCAGTGCTTCCACCCAGTCAGCCATTAGAGCCGCGGTCCCTGAATCCCAGAAAACTGTCCCGGATGGAACGGAGAGGTGCTGGCTATGGGTTTTAACGTCGTAGCCAATCAAATCAAACTGTATTTGTCACATGCGCCGAATACGACAGGTGTAGCTCTTACCGCGAAATGCTTACTTACAAGCCCTTAACCAACAATGCAGTTCAAGAAAGAGTTAAGAAAATATTTACCAAATAAACTAAAGTTAAAAGATTATAAAAAGTAACACAATAAAATAACAATAACGAAGCTATATACAGGGGGTACCGGGTCAATGTGCGGGGGTACAGGTTAGTTAAGGTCATTTGTACATGTAGGTAGGTAGGGGTAAAGTGACTATACATAGATAATAGACAGCGGGTAGCTGGTAGGGGGGGGGGGGGACCCCGGGGGTCAATGTGAATAGTCCGGGTGGCCATTTGATTAATTGTTCAGCAGTCTTCTGGCTTGGGGGTAGAAGCTGTTAAGGAGCCTTTTGGTCCTAGACTTGGCGCTCCGGGTACCGCTTGCCGTGCGGTAGCAGAGAGAACAGTCTATGGCTTGGGTGGCTGGTGTCACTACCTTCTGTAGCGCATTACGGTCAGATGCCGAGCAGGTGTCTTACATTACAACAATGTATGAGGAAGACCGTCTACCTCCCCCTATAATTAGTATCTGCAGGATCAGTTACTGCACTCCTGAGAGGGTTATTTTACACCCTCATTCCACCAGGTCCCCTTTAGGCAGTACTAACGAAGAAAAGTATGGAGGGAGGGCAACACGTAAGAGCTGGAGCACGTGATCAGACAGGGACATTACACTGGAAGTCTTATCCACCCAGGGTTCAACAGGGTGAACTGAGCTCCTGCTAACTTGGCTGGTATGCAAATTGAGACATGGAAACACTTGAGTAAATTAGCGATACAAAGTATATTGAAAGCAGGTGCTTCCACACAGGTGTGGTTCCTGAGCAATTAACATCCCATCATGCTTAAGGTCATATATAAAAATGCTGGGCAGGCCATTATTTTGGCTATGCCCCCATGGGATGACAATGCTCCCCCATCCACAGGGCACGAGTGGTCACTGAATGGTTTGATGAGCATGAAAACGATTTCAACCATATGCTATGGCCGTGTCAGCCCCCAGATCTCAACCCAATTGAACACTTATGGGAGATTCTGGAGCGGCGCCTGAGACAGCGTTTTCCACCACCATCAACAAAACACCAAATAATGGAATTTATTGTGGAAGAATGGGTGACATCCCTTCAATAGAGATCCAGACACTTGTAGAATCTACACCAAGGTGCATTGAAGCTGTTCTGGACAGGGTGCTCTGATGGACGGAAGGGGGAAGGAAATTGGGACTGCAGTTAAAAATTAGCTGGCTGGCTAAAACTGGCACTTCTATAGTAATGTTGATTAATGGGCACTGTCCTTGTAAAACTCCTTTTAATGTAATACATTTATGGTAATAAGAGGTTTATTTATTCTGTTGTTATACTGCCAGTAAATTGAGCAAAACTCACGCTCATGTTCCACTAATAGCACAGATACTTACTGGTTGATCCAGTGAGGTTGGTGGTAGGAACTGAAGGACAAGCCGTCAAACAGGACAGACCTGTCAAACTCCACTCCTACATGGTCCCAAAACGGAAAGGATTCCTGTCCTGATAATGACAAGACAGTGATGTTTCATAAAACACCACGAGCAAGTCTTTACAACACGTTTATACCAGATCCAACTGTTTTCACCACGTGGTAAACATATGATAAATACACTGAAATAAACGCAACAATTTCAAAGATTTTACTGAATTACAGTTCATATAAGGAAATCAGTAAATTGAAATGAATTCATTAAGCCCTAATCTATGGATTTCACATGACTGGGAATACAGATATGCATCTGTTGGTCACAAATACCTTTAAAAAAAGGTAGGGGCGTGGATCAGAAAACCAGTCAGTATCTGGTGTGACCACTATTTGCCTCGTGCGACGTGACATCTCCTTCACATAGAGTTGATCAAACTGTTGATGGTGGCCTGGGGAATGTTGTCCCAATCCTCTTCAATGGCTGTGCGAAGTTGCTGGATATTGGCGGGAACTGGAACACGCTGTCCTACACGTTGATTCAGAGTATCCCAAACATGATCAATGGGTGACATGTTTGGTGAGTATGCAGGCCATGGAAGAACTGGGACATTTTCAGCTTCCACGAATTGTGTACAGATCCTTGCGACATGGGGCCGTGTATTATCATGCTGAAACATGAGGTGATGGCGGCGAATGAATGGCACGACAATGGGCCTCAGGATCTCATCATGGTATCTCTGTGCATTCAAACTTCCATCGATAAAATGCAATTGTGTTCGTTGTCCGTAGCTTATGCCTGCCCATACCATTACTCCACCGCCACCATGGGGCACTCTGTTCACAATGTTGACATCAGAAAACGACGCGGTCTGCGGTTGTGAGGCCAAATTCTCTAAATCAACGTTGGATTTGGCTTATAGTAGAGAAATTAATATTCAATTCTCTGGCAAAAAGTTCTGGTGGACATTCCTGCAGTCAGCATGCCAATCGCACGCTCCCTAAAAATGGAGACATAGGTGGCATTGAGTTGTGTGACAAAACTGCAGATTTTAGAGTGGCCTTTTGTCCCCAGCACAAGGTCCACCTGTGTAATGATCATGCTGTTTAATCAGCTTCTTGATATGCCACACCTGTCAGGTAGATGGATTATCTTGGCAAAGGAGAAATGCTCACTAACAGGGATGTAAACATATTTGTGCACATAATTTGAGAGAAATAAGCTTTTTGTGCTTATGAAACATTTCTGGGATCTTTTATTTCAGCTCATGAAACATGGGACCAACACTTTACATGTTGCATTTATATTTTTGTTTAGTATAGACGGTATGTGAGAGATTTGTGGGTAAAATACAGTTATAGTAACAGTCCACCAGGGGGCAGTGTTTTACTGTGCCATGGCATTCTTTTCATTGGCATGAACAACACCAAATCAACGAATTAGTTTACAAGAAAGGAATTGAATTATATAAAAGACAGAGCAAAAGCTATAGCCTCTGTTCCAGGACCTAGCTTTCAAACAATCTCTCTGACCAGTTTCAAAGTTTATTCTTTTGGTAACTAGGCTCAATACCTAAACAACGGTAGACAGCAAATCATCTCTGACTCTATGCACCTCAATCACAACACTCACCTTCATGGGGCAGGACTTCTCGTCTACACTCCTCTGGGAGGCTGACTCAAAGCAGTAGGCTGCCCTTTGTCCCTTAGGCCAGAGTGTTGGGGCAAGTTACTTCATGAAGTCATCTACGCTTACCACACACGGTGGTAGTGGGTCAGGGCCTCCAGCTGGAAGAACTCACTGTAGGGGACATGTACCTGTTAAAAGGGGGACACAGCTGTGAGTGTGAGATTGGATCCTTCCTGCGTCTCATTTCTCTGTCTTTTCTCCCTACGTGTGCCCTTGTTCACATCCCCTTCATGGATTTAAAAGCAAAGGACTGATGAGATCAACATCAGGAAACGTGATTTCGGAATCTACATTTGAGTATGGAGGCGCGTGGTGGCGGTACACTATGAAGGGGGGAACTGCCAGTGTGCGATTCAGCATTTTGGCGAATGCCAAAGACCCCAGAAAGTAGTCGGCTTGGTTTCCAAATCGAGCTGAGGAACCAAATTGGCATTAGCAATTAATTATTTGAATTGGCTAGGCTATAGCTACTCCAACTTCAACTACGAAGTTAGCTGGTCTAATCACTAAATGTATATTTGTAAAATAAAAAGTTAGATAGCACAAATACATTAAAATCTGCGTGAATTAATAAAAGTTAAATAAACCATAGCCTACACATCACCAGATCACGATTCAAAAGACACCGGAGTAGCAAACGTTACAATGTTTACAAGGAAAGTTGATACAATTATTACCCATGCAAGGACAATATAAAATGTAGCCATTGTAGTCCCACGTTAACTCTGTAGCAAACGTTAGACTAATTTGTAGCAATATTGCTGTAAGCGAATAGTAGACCACAAAAAGTCGCAAGTGATTCAGTTTCATGCCACATCCCAGAATGTATTGGACGCTGAAAAAAGTTTAACCCCGGAGGTGCTACTCTCGTTGTTCACGCGGGTCGGCTGCATCACTGAAATTTAAATTAATGTGGAATTGGAATTTCATATGATCTCGGATGACATATGGAATCTTTAGACATATGTGTGAAAGAGAGGAGGGGCTTCAGACTTTGGTAAAAACGTTTGCAACAGATTATCACAGGGTTTGTATGTGTAAGGTAAAACCACAACATACAGAAGGTTAGGTTAGGTCTTTGTGAGCAGAGAGTATAGATTAGGCCTTTGTGAGCAGAGAGTATAGGTTAGGTCTTTGTGAGCAGAGAGTATAGGTTAGGTCTTTGTGAGCAGAGAGTATAGGTTAGGTCTTTGTGAGCAGAGAGTATAGGTTAGGTCTTTGTGAGCAGAGAGTATAGGTTAGGTCTTTGTGAGCGGAATTCACAGCGTTAGCATGTGAACAGGTTGAAATAGTGTTCCAGTTGGCCTATACAAAACCAACACGTATTGTAGTTTGAAAAAGCAAACCAAAAAAAACAACAACATCATGCTGTTAAACCAAACCACAAGTGAGTTGATCGTAGATGTATTTATTGTCTGTTTATCCTCATCATCTGTTAATTAATCTGTTGATTAACAACAGGTTCTCATGAAATATCCAGTGGTGAGAGAGAAGCATGATTAACTGGCTTCCTGCTGACCATAGCGCCTTGAACTCAAATGGAGACAATCAAAATGTTATTTTCACTGATAAAGACCCAGAAGAAACAAGTAGTAAAATTGAACCCAGAGCTCTGTGATTTAAACCCTTCATTAAGAGCAACATGACTCATACCCATAGTAATCCTTTGTTTGTGTGTGGCCTCAAACCACATTACATTCACTCTTAGAAAAAACGGTTCCAAAAGGGTTCTTCAGCTGTCCCCATAGGAGAACCCTCTTTGGTTCCAGGTAGAACCCTTTTGGGTTCCATGTAGAATCCTTTGTAGAAATGGTTCTGCATGAACCCAAAAGGGTTCCACCTGGAACCAAAAAGGGTTCTTCAAAGGGTTCTCCTATGGGGACAGCTGAAGAACCCTTTTAGGTTCTAGATATACTTTTTTCTAAGCGTGTAGTGCTGTGCGTGTGTTTAAGAGAGAAAGAGTCCACCTGTATATGTGTGCATTGTATGGGGCATTAAACACCCCCCCTGTCACAACTGCTGTCAATGAAGACAAATTGTCTAATTGGGTGATAATCTAATCTTGTTTTATAATAGTTGTAATTTAGAAGACAGCAGAAGTTCAAATCAAATCAAATCAAATTGTATTTGTCACATACACGTGTTTAGCAGATGTTATAGCGGGTGTAGCGAAATGCTTGTGCTTCTAGCTCCGACAGTGCAGTAATATCTAACAAGTAATATCTAACAATCTCACCACATATACCCAATACGCACAAATCTAGTAAGGAATGGAATTTAAGAATATATACATATATGGACAAGCAATGACAGAGCGGCATGGACTAAGATACAGTAGAATATTATTGAATAGAATGCAGTATATACATATGAGATGAGTAGTGCAAGATATGTAAACATTGTTAAAGTGACTAGTGTTCCATTTCTTAAAGTGGCTAGTGATTTCAATAGGCAGCAGCAGCCTCTAATGTGCTAGTGATGGCTATTTAACAGTCTGATGGCCTTGAGATAGAAGCTGTTTTTCATTCTCTCGGTCCCAGCTTTGATGCACCTGTACTGACCTCGCCTTCTGGATGATAGTGCCGTCTTCACCACCCTGTCTGTGTGGGTGGACCATTTCAGTTTGTCGGTGATATGTACGCCAAGGAACTTGAAGCTTTCCACCTTCTCCACTGCGGTCCCGTCGATGAGGATAGGGGGGTGCACCCTCTGCTGTTTCCTGAAATCCACAATCATCTCCTTTGTTTTGTTGATGTTGAGTGAGAGGTAATTTTTCCTGGCACCATACTCCCAGAGCCCTCACCTCTTCCCTGTAGGCAGTCTCGTCATTGTTGGTAATCAAGCCTACTACTGTTGTGTCGTCTGCAAACTTGATGATTGAGTTGGAGGTGTGCTTGGCCACGTAGTCATGGGTGAACAGGGAGTACAGGAGGGGGCTGAGCACGCACCCTTGTGGGGCCCCATTGTTGAGGATCAGCGAAGTGGAGATGTTGTTTCCTACCTTCACCACCTGGGGGTGGCCCGTCAGGAAGTCTAGGACCCAGTTGCACAGGGCGGGGTTCAGACCCAGGGCCTCGAGCTTAATGATGAGCTTGGAGGGCACTATGGTGTTGAATGCTGAGCTATAGTCAATTAACAGCATTCTTACATAGGTATTCCTCTTGTCCAGATGGGATAGGGCAGTGTGCAGTGTGATGGCGATTGCATCGTCTGTGGATCTATTGGGGCGGTAAGCAAATTGAAGTGGGTCTAGGGTGACGGGTAAGGTAGAGGTGATTGACTAGTCTCTCAATGCACTTCATGATGACAGAGGTGAGTGCTACAGGGCAATAGTCATTTAGTTCAGTTACCTTTGCTTTCTTCGGTACAGGAACAATGGTGGTCATCTTGAAGCATTTGGGAACAGCAGACTGGGAAAGGGAGAGATTGAATATGTCCATAAACACACCAGCAAGCTGGTCTGCGCATGCTCTGAGGACACGGCTAGGGATGCCGTCTGGGCCGGCAGCCTTGCGAGGGTTAACACATTTAAATGTCTTACTCACGTCGGCCATGGAGAAGGAGAGGCCACAGTCCTTGGTAGTGGGCCTCGTCAGTGGCACTGTGTTATCCTCAAAGCGGGCGAAGAAGGTGTTTAGCTTGTCTGGAAGCGAGACGTCGGTGTCGGCGACGTGGCTGGTTTTCCTTTTGTAGTCTTCCTTTTGTAGTCTGCGATTGTCTGTAGACCCTGCCACATACGTCTCGTGTCTGAGCCGTTGAATTGCGACTCCACTTTGTCTCTATACTGATGTTTTGCCAGTTTAATTGCCTTGCGGAGTGAGTAGCTACACTGTTTGTATTCTGCCATATTCCCAGTCACCTTGCCATGGTTAAATGCGGTGGTTCGCGCTTTCAGATTTGTGCGAATGCTGCCATCTATCCACGGTTTCTGGTTAGAGTAGGTTTTAATAGTCACAGTGGGCACAACATCACCTATACACTTCTTGATAAACCCAGACACTGTTTCAGTGTATACGTCAAAATTATTTTCGGAAGCTACCCGGAACAAATCCCAGTCCGCGTGATCAAAACAATCTTGAAGCGTGGATTCCGATTGGTCAGACCAGCGTTGAATAGTCCTTAGCATGGGTACTTCCTGTTTGAGTTTCTTCCTATAGGAAGGGAGAAGCAAAATGGAGCCGTGGTCAGATTTGCCGAAAGGAAGGCGGGGGAGGGCCTTATAACCATCCCGGAAGTTTGAATAGCAATGGTCGAGGGTTTTGGCAGCGCAAGTGCAACAGTCGACATGTTGATAGAACTTCGGCAGCCTAGTCCTCAAATTTGCTTTGTTAAAATCCCCGGCAACAATAAATGCAGCCTCAGGATATGTGGTTTCCAGTTTGCATAAGGTCCAGTGAAGTTCTTTGAGGGCCGTCGTGGTATCGGCTTGAGGGGGGATATACATGGCCGTAACAATAACCGAAGAGAATTCTCTTGGGAGATAATACGGTCGGCATTTGATTGTGACGTGTCTTTAGCTTTAAAATGTTATACTGAACAAAACTATAAACGCAACATGCAATAATTTCAACAATTTGACTGTAACAGTTCATATAAGGAAATCAGTCAATTGAAATAAATAAATTAGGCCCTAATCTATGGATTTCACATGACTGGGCAGAGGTGCTGCATGGGTGGGCCTGGAAGGGCATAGGCTCACCTACAGCCAATCAGAATGAGTTGTTCCCCACAAAAGGGCTTTATTACAGACATTTCAACCCATGAAACATGGGACCAACACTTTACATGTTGCGTTTATATTTTTGTTCAGTATAATAGACTAACCGTGAGCAGTTGATATCTTCATAGGTGAAATCTACCATCCCCCTCCTCCTGCAACCATGTGTACATATACATACTCATGTATACCAAACACACACACACATGCAGGTACAGACCTTCCTCTAAATCCTTCTCCTTTTCTATGTGTATGTGAACCTTTCTTACTCTGAATGTAGTTCACTCATAGAGGTCCATGACATGTATGTGACCATGCAGAATACCATATGAAATATGTGCTGGAATGAGCTCTGGTCAATTGCTACCAGGTTGTGGAACTTGATGGATCGGCTGTTCGTCCCATTACTTGAGAGGAAACTGCTCAAAGCCCACCCTTACAGGTTCAAATTCAGTCATCGCAATTCAAGGTATTTTCTTAGTCTCTCTTTCATGTGTTTTCTTCTGTCTCTTCGCGGCCTCTTTCCCTCTTTTCCTGTCTTTCTCTGCTCCACCCCCATCTCTTGAACACACACTGTTTTTCATTGTTAGAGATGACAGTGATGATAAGAATGCAGAGAGCCACAACTCACCACCTCGAGACCTCCTTCAGATGGATAACTGAAATAGAGTAACAGAAGGCGGGCGGTGTATGATTGTTATTTATATTGATTTTCTATCTCTATGTCTCTGTCTGTTTCTCTCTTTTAGCTTCATCATAAGAGATTTACAAATGCTAGGTGTGGGAACTAAATTGTTTTAAAGGAACAGGAGAGGTTGCATGGCACCAATAAGACGAAAACATTTCCACAAGCTGCAAACCTCTACGTACAGTGGGGAGAACAAGTATTTGATACACTGCCGATTTTGCAGGTTTTCCTACTTACAAAGCATGTAGAGGTCTGTAATTTTTATCATAGGTACACTTCAACTGTGAGAGACGGAATCTAAAACAAAAATCCAGAAAATCACATTGTATGATTTTAAAGTAATTAATTTGCATTTTATTGCATGACATAAGTATTTGATACATCAGAAAAGCAGAACTTAATATT